AATAGAAATATATGATTGATCAAAGTCTTAAAATGACAAAAAAAATTGGGACAGAAATACTACTCCCTTAGTCTCTTATAACTTTGTCATATTTTCTTTTTTTGGATGTCCCAAAACTTTTGTCACTTTTCCTTTTAATCAATGAATTTGTGGTTCTTCTTATTTCTCTCTCCTCTGCACATATCTCGATCACACCGATTTTACTTTATTATTTTCCGTGTCGGTCAAACATGACAAAGTATTGAGGGACGGAGGGAGTATAAATTTTCCATAATTTAACAATTTCAACGAATTTAGTTGATTGAATTAATTACGGTAGATATGTAAAACTCTAAGAGCCCGCTCGTAAAGTAAAATCGACTGTATTCAGATGAAATTTATAAAGCTCTGGCTGATGTTGCTATATTGGCTGATTCTGCTGATTTGTGAAAAATAATAATTTAAAATACATTTTATTAATAAAATAAAGAAAAAAATATATGAAAAAAATAGTTAAAATGACCCTCTTTTCCTTGTACCTTTTCTTTTAATTCTGTACCCTTTCAACTTTATTTAATAAATTAGGGAGTTGTTCCCCGACACTCCCCCACCCCGTGTGGTTGCTCCGGGGGAAAAAAGTTAAAATGACCATTTACAGTAACTTTAGCGAATATAGTCAGAAAAGGAACTTCAATCTTATTTTTTTTACTCCCTCCGTTCCTAAATGAACTTCCAACTTTCCTTTTTCGTCCGTTCCAATTAAAACTTCCATTTTCCCTTTTTGGTATAGAATTTGTGGTTCACAACATTTCTTACACATTTCTCTCTCCTCTGCACAACTCTCCACCACACAATATCCACTATCTTAAACTTTGTGCCAAACTCATTTGGAAGTTAAAATGGGAACGAAGGTGGTATTATTATTACCCAATTCAACACGTAAAACCAAAAGTCACGTATAATGAAAAAGCCCGCTTATAAACGTGAAAAGCAAAAAATCTCGGGGCACTAAATTGAGTAACTACTACGTACAATCGTACATCATGCGTGACTGTCCTCCTCTCACATGCACTGCCAACTGCGAATCCTTGTTTTTTGCGTTACGGACATTTACACTTTATTCAGATCATACGTAATTACGTAGTGTACCAAATTGAGCCGGGGTTTATTCAGATTCTACATCATTGTCCTTCTTCATGGATGCACAGTACGCCCTTTTAAATTATTGATTCCTGCTCATCTTCAATTTCTTGTACACATCGGTTTATTTTGGGTTAAAGACATACTCCGCACATCAAAAGTTTATTTAAATTTAAATAAATTTATAACGTCAATCATACGAATTGAAAATACGTAAATGAGGTAGGGAGTTTTTGACATTTTTGGTCCCTCGACTATTATGCCAATGACACTTTTAGTACTTGACTTCTAATTTTTCCATTTTTAGTTCTCGACTATTGTACTAGAGACACTTTTAGTCTCTGGCTTCAAGGTTTCCCACTTTTAGTCCTCGCATTATGATTTTAACACAATAAGGGGAAGACTAAAAATGTTACTATTATAATAGTTGAAGGACCAAAAGTGTCACTTTTATAAAAGTTGAATGACTAAATATGGAAATTTTCAAAAACGGGTACCAAAAGTGTCTCTAGCGCAATAGTCAAGAACTAAAAATGGAAAAAATCAAAGTCGAGTACCAAAAATATAACGACATAATAGTCGGAGGACTAAAAGTGGAAAAACTCATGAGGTAGGGCACAACCAAGAAATGAACACACATTTGAAATTTAAGAAGAAGAACGAAGACTGACTCATTACTAAACTTTTTTGTGTATCGGTCACATGCTATATTATTTATGCTTATATCTGATCTAACAAACTTATATCGGGAAAAAGGTCAGATAGGCCCTCGAACTTACATAAAAAGGTCAAATAAGTCCTTATATAGGAGGTTGTGTCAGGCCGTCGCCATCTGGGGCGGTTCCCATTGGATTTTTCTGATGAAATTTTTTGAGCACCTTATTCATTAAGTCTAGTTTATTCATACCAAATTCCAGCTAAGACTTCAATCGGGAAGGTATTCAAATGAATTCTTGAAGATAACTGCGCAGTTAAAAGCGCATTTATCTTCAAGAATTCATTTTAATGCCTTTACGATTGAATTGTTAGCTGAAATTTGGTATGCGTAAACTAGACTTAATGAATAAGATGCTCAAAATATTTCATCAAAAAAATCCACCGGGAACTGCCCTAAATGGAGATGACCGGGCAGAGTCTCCTATATAAGAGTTTATTTGACCTTTTTATATAAGTTCGAGGGTCTATTTGACCCTTTTCCCAACTTATATCAAAATAAAAGTTGAACCCCGTATTTAATGAGCCCTTGGGTTGAGGATTCAATCTTTTGGAGGAATTCAATGCATAGCCACTTTCATGCCAAAAAGGTGCCTGAGTCATATTTTCTTGAAATAATTAAGAAAATGGATATCTTCATTTTTCCTTCGAAGAAGAACGAGCTAGAGAGATTTAAAACTGAAAAGGAAAATCTTATGAAGAAAATTTCTGAAAATTCTATTAATCTTTCTCAAAGCTCATCATCACATGTAGACTCCCATTTTGAAAAGAATAAAAAGAAAAATCATTTTTCAAGAAAAAGGAACCCATCCACATCTCCAAATCTCCATACAGGCAAATCTTTTTCTAATCACCATGCATGAAGGATGACTTGAATTTTGAAGAAAGCCGTGAGCAAGGATATATACAAGACTTGAGCAACCAATGAAGATCTCAAAAATCTTTAATTTTGTTGAAAAGCTTTGTAATAGTTTTAGAAAGTATTTTTGTTCTAGTTCAGACTTTAGTTCCACTAGTTCTGTTTCTCACAATTCTCCTAATGTGATGTTGATGTTGATAATAGTTGTGCTGCTTTAAATAATTCTCTGCATGAACAGGACAAACTCATCCTTAAATGGGTACATAAGGTTCCTTCATTTTGGCAGGTCAGTCATGTGTGGTATCTTGATTTCGGTTGCTTCACACTAAGGGTGGGCAAACAAGTCCTGGAACCGCAGTCCGTTCCGGGTAATGGCGATTTAGGTCCAAAATGGGCCGATTCTATCTTTTTGTTAGAAAACGCTCCGCGTAGGGCAAGGTATCAATTTTTTAGGTCCGGACCGGTTCCAAAATATAAAAGTGCCAGGTACCCGCCCCGCCTCGTTGTATGTGTAATATCTAAATGTTTGAGAGATTAGGCCCTCTGGTAGCTTAGCGCATTCGACCTTAACTGAGTTTAGGATCTCCAGTCTTCAACCCATTACTCATGTCCAGTAATCCCCTCAGACCGAAACCATCAGACTCTCACTCTCACCATATCTAGTACGGAGTATCTACCATCCCGTATGGACTATGGAGGATTGGAGGTAGCTTAGGAGTGCGATTAACTAGTGTTGTACCCCGTCTCTGGTTCGTTTAGGAGTTCAATTACCTGGAGGTTGAACGGTTGAACTATACTCTCCGGTCAGCGGGAAAGCATCAAACGAGCAATCGCCGTCCATCGCCCACTGCCCACCGCTACCGTCTACCGTCACCGAACTACTGCTGACTTCTGTAAGTTGTTTGGGAGCATGGGTTGCGTATTATCTTAGTTTTATAGACCTAGGCCATAGCAAGGCCCTAAGCCGAGGTGTAGAACTCACTCCCAAAAGACTAGCCGATTAGGAGGAAGGGACACCTGACTTATAAGCCACTGGTCAATCCCAGAAATTGACCAGTGTGGGATCATTACAATACCCCACGCTTCGAAGAGCCAACGTCCTCGTTGGTCATGGCTATGTTGGTCACGGTTGGCACCCCCAGGGCCCAAGACACCACTCCATAGGCCACCACTCCGAGTGTCGGGACCGGGAATATGGGGATGGCTCTGATGCTATTTGTTATAGATCTAGCCAATACTAGGCCCATAGTAAGGCCCTAAGCCGAGATGTAGAACTCACTCTTAAAAGACTAACCGATCAGTGCTTATACCGTGGGATCGGTGCATGGTGAGCACCATGCACCCTTTGTTATTTTCTATTCATCCTTTTCTTAAAATTGTTAATAATTTTTTTATTTTTGATCTGATTTTTATAAAAATTATATCAAAATTTTTTATTTTTCATGATCTTTCAAATGAGACCAATATTGCCTATGTAATTTTAATTTTTTACATTCATACATTTTTTGTAATATATTTTTATATGCCTACACTTTTCTATAATATATTTTTTTATCACTTTTATATGATTTTAGAGGTTTTTAAGATATTGAGTTTGTTTATTTTGCTTCTAGCTTGGAGTTACATTTGATAATATACAAAGTTACATCATCTTATACTCCAATTACAAGTTATTATGTGTGAGTTACATCTTCTTATGTGTGAGTTACATCTTGCTATACACGAGTTACATACTTTTATGCGAGAGTTACATGTAATTATGTGTGAGTTACATCTTGTTATACACGAGTTGCATACATTTATGCGCGAGTTACATGTAATTATGGGTGAGTTATATCTAATTATTTGTGATTTTTACTTATCTTTATCTTGAACTAATTCAATTATAACTGAATTAATTTTTTTCTTTGCCAATTTAATACAAAATTTTATTAATCCACATAAAATAAGTATATTGTATTTCATATTCATACACTTGTGTACCTTGGTAAAGCTGAAAAAAAGATGTAACTTTTTTTTAATACTGAGTGAGAGTCTGATGGTTTCGGTCTGATTTATTACATTTTTTTTAGCTTTAACGGCAAGGTACATCTGGAGAGGGCGGCGACTCCATCTCAACAGGGCTATGGAGAGTTTCAGCAAAGAAAATAAAAACAAGGAGATTTCTTTTGTCTGTTTGGATGAGTATAAGGAAGGCGACTGATGAGAATCCTGGGAAGAGGCTGCTGAAACGCAAGAAAAATTATGCCTTTACTCACGGCGTAAAGGGACCGATTCTATCTCACGGTGATAGAAGACCAAGGCTGAATAAGCTGAAAAATTATATGCTATCTTTATTAATTAATGAATGGTTATATATATAACCCAACAACAGAACAAGATGGACTAGGAAACTAAGTCCTGCTGGTGTTCAACTAGCTAAGGGAAATTAGGAAACCAGGAATATTAATACTACTAGGAAACTAAAAAGTAATTAATTAAAAGAATGAAGACTTTAAGTAATATAGTTATTTAGCCTAGAGCTCCTCTGTCGTGTCCGTTTGCTGCGTCGTTGAATTACCGCCTTGTCCTCATCATTGGCCCCTTCTCGAACTCGAACCTTGTCCTCAAGGTAAAAATTAGGAAACTGGCTCTTTATTATCTCTACTGGTTCCCAAGTGGCATCATTATGGTCTAGAGAGGCCCATTTCACCAGGGCTTCATGAACAATTCCAGACTTAGTACGGACATCTCGAAAATTGAGAATGTTTTCTGGTTCAAAAATGGGTTCCCCATCTTCCGAATAAGGCGGTAATGTTGTTATTGATGTTGTTGGTCCCACATGCCTTTTAAGGAGTGATACATGAAATACAGGATGAATACGAGCACTTTCTGGCAACTCAAGCTTGTAAGCGACATCTCCTATTTTTTCCAAGACTTTATATGGGCCGAAGAACTTGCATGCTAGCTTTTGGTTTGCCCTACGAAAAACAGAATGTTGGCGAAATGGACGAAGCTTTAAATAAACAAGGTCGCCAACAGCAAAATGCACTTCACGTCTACCCGTGTCTGCCAGTTGTTTCATTCTGTTGGAAGCCATTACCAAATTTTCTTGCAGTATGCGTATTACCTCATCCCTGGTCCGCATTTGTTTATCGACCTCAGATATTGGTGACTGCCCCATGTTATATGAACGAAGCATTGGTGGGGGTCTTCCGTATAACGCTTCAAACGGGGTCATTTTATGGAGCTATGGTAGGTTGTATTATACCAGAATTCTGCCCACACGAGGAGTCCACTCCATTTTCGAGGGACTTGGTGAGCGAAGCAACGTAAATATTGAGCCAAACACCGATTGACAACTTCTGTTTGTCCGTCGGTCTCAAGGTGATAGGCCGAACTTGTTTGTAACGTTGTGCCTTGCAATCGAAACAATTATTTCCAGAAAAGACTCATAAACACACGATCCCTGTCGCTTACGATGGATTCTGGGAATCCATGCAATCTAACAACCTCCTGTATGAACGTGGCAGCCACATCTTTTGCTTTAAATGGGTGCGCTAAAGCTACAAAATGGGCATATTTCGTAAATCGATCAACAATGACAAAAACTGAGTTTTTACCTCCTAACGTTGGCAATCCTTCTATGAAATCCATAGTGACATCTGCCCAAACCGCAGTAGGAATCGGTAATGGGGACAGTAGTCCTGCAGGTGCAAGAGAGCTGATCTTGGCGCGTTGACATACTTCACACTCGCGAACATATTGAGAAACTGCTCCTCGCATGCCTGGCCAAGTAAATATTTGATTTAGACGATTAAAAGTTCGTAACATTCCGGATTGTCCTCCTGTCGGAGTGTTATGAAATTCATGTATTAGCTTCGTTCTCAAGGACTGGTTTCCTGGTATGAGAACCTTCCCCTGAAATAAAATGCACCCATTCCGAACTTCATAACCTGCCACTTCAACCTCTTTGTTTAATACTTTTGAATGAATTTCTTGCAAGCGAGTGTCTTCTTGAGTTAACGTTCGTATTTCGTTTCAAACCTCCCACAAGGGTCCTGATATAGCTGTAAGTTCTGCCCCATTTTCAGGATGCTCCCACCGAGACAAGGCATCTGCAACTTTATTGGTGGCTCCAGGTTTATATATGATTTCATAATCAAATCCCAGGAGCTTAGTTATCCACTTTTGTTGTTCAGGGGTCGTGATACGTTGCTCAACGAGATGTCGAAGACTCTTTTGATCAGTATATATGATAAATCGCCGTCCCAAAAGATATGTCCTCCATATTCGAACGGCTTCAAGAACTGCCAACATCTCTTTGGCATAAGTGGACCATGCTTGTTTTGTTGGTCCCAACGCCTTACTCATGAATGCTATGGGCCGCCTTTCTTTTGACAAAACTGCTCCTATTCCTTGTCCCGACGCGTCTGTCTCGATGCAGAATTCCTTTGTAAAATCTGGTAGAGCTAGTACTGGAGTTGTGGAGACGGCCTTTTTAAGATTTTCAAAAGCTAATGTAGCTTCTAGGCTCCAGGAAAACTGCCCCTTCTTTAGAAGTTGAGTTAGCGGTCGAGCTATCAATCCATATTCACGCACAAATTTGCGATAATAGCCGATTAGCCCTAGAAATCCGCGCAAGGCAGTGATGGATGTTGGTCTCGGCCACTGACACATGGCCTCAATTTTTTTTGGATCTACTCGTACACCTTCATTAGATATGTAATGGCCTAAATATTCGACCTCTGTAAAGCGCAAAGAAACATTTACTTGGTTTTATGTGAAAACAGTGCTCCTCAAGAATTTGTAGGGTCTGTCGAAGATGATCAAGGTGAGCAGCCCACGTTTTACTATAGACGAGAATGTCATCAAAGAAAACCAGGATAAATTCATGCAAATACGGTCTGAAAATTTCATTCATGGCAGCCTGAAAGGTTGATGGAGCGTTACAAAGTCCAAATGGCATGACTAAGTACTCATAATGACCATTATGTTTTCGGAAAGCAGTCTTGTGGATGTCATCGGGATGAACACGGATCTGATGATAACCTGCCCACAAATCTAGTTTTGAGAAATAATTGGCTCCATGTAATTCATCAAGCATATCATAAATAGTCGGAATTGGAAATCTGTCCTTAACAGTTTCCTTATTGAGTGCTCGATAGTCGGTACAAAACCTCCAAGTTCCGTCCTTTTTCCTTACAAGCAAAACTGGTGAAGAAAAAGGGCTTGTACTTGGTTGGATCAACCCAACCTGTAGCATCTCTGTGACTTGTCGTTCAATTTCGGCTTTTTGGAAGTGGGCATAACGATAAGGGGCTACATTAACAGTGCAACGTTCATCCTTCAGTTTGATTCGATGATCAAATCTCCTACGCGGTGGTAGCGAGCGGGGCTCTATGAACAATGATGCATACCCATCTATTACATTCTGGACTTCCGGATTTTCTACAGCTATAGTGATTACTTCTTTAACTGGTTGTATGGGAATAAAAATGGCAAACAATTCAGCCCCAGCTTCCCAATCACTTATGATGCAATTTAGGTGAACTTCTTTTGCTAATGATGGTGCTTCTGCACGGATGGTGTGTCTCGCCCCAGAAACTGTGAACTCCACTGATAATATCTTTCCCAAACTTTTCAGCCATTGCATCCCCATGATCAAATCCATACCGGTGATTGGAAGAGCATATAGAGTAGTTTCGAAAGTGTACCCTTGGATGGTAATCTGGACGTGTTCATATTTTTCAGAACACCAAAGACGATCACCACTAGCTATCCGGGTTGCAAACGGTTTAATTTTGGTGACCGTTAACTTGAGCCGACCTGCCGCTTCCTGCTTAATGAAGTTGTGCGTTGATCCTGAATCGATTAAAATATTAAGCTTGTGTTGCTGCACATTGCCCGATACCCGCATGGTTCTGGAATCCATGCCTCCTGCTAGTGCATGCACCGTTACAGAAATTTCTTCTTCGCTTGTGTCATTATTCTCTGGCATCTCTGCATCTTCTCCTTCTTCAACTTCCAGCATAAATTGAAGAGCCTTACATCGATGGCCGGGTGTGAACTTTTCATCACAATTATAGCACATTTTCTTTTCTCTTCTTGCTTTCATCTCTTCTGCGGTCAGTCGTCTTGGAACAAAGCTTGATGAAGATTTGGGAGTTGTGATTTGTGCTAAATTATTCATGACAGGCCACCCTCCCGTGGGTTGTTTTAAGGTGGTTACCAGTTGTTTCTTTCCCCGTTTTTGTTTCTCATCTATTCGACGAGCCAGTTCCATAGCATTAGATAACTTTCGAGGGTTAAACAGTCGAATATCTAATGATAACTCCTCCCGCAGTCCACCCAAAAAAGTTCCAAGTAGAGCCTTTGATGTCCACCCTTTTACTCGAGTCGATAATCTCTCGAATTCTTTCAAGTATTCTCTGTAGGAACCCGTTTGTTTGATTTTGCTGAGCAATTCATTATAATCTTCAAAATCAGTGGGTCCAAATCGTTTTAGGATGCCACTCTCAAACTGCCTCCAGGTGATTTCTCCCCTCCTTTTGCGTTTATCAAACCACTGCCACCATTGATTGGCTTCTCCTTCGAGATGGAATGAAGCCAATTGTACTTTCCTTGGTCCTTGGATTCCCTTTACAGAGAAATATTGTCGGGCACGATTTAACCAGACCACTACGTCCTCCCTTGCAAATTTTGGGAAGTCAAGCTTGAGCCGGTCTCTTAACCGATCTTGATTCTCTTCTCCCTGCCATGGTATTTCGGTGTGGTTGTGAGAGTCCTCAGAACTGCTGCTCCCGTTTTTGCTACTTTCAGAAGATGAAGTTGATGATGAAGAAGACGACTGATGTTTGCCTCTTCGTTTCCGGTGGTGATTTGATTATGCCGATCTGGAATTTGTCCTGCGTGACTTTGACGATGAATTGTTGTGCTCCTCCATCCACTTTTGCATTGATTCTACAGTTAGGGCTAGGTTGTTGAAGGAAGATGGGATTTGCGCGAGAGAATTGTCCAGCTGGTCAAAACGTTCGCGATTCGTCATCCTGAAACCTCTCTGATACCAATTGATGAGAATCCTGGGAAGAGGCTGCTGATAGAAGACCAAGCATGAATAAGCTGAAAAATTATATGCTATCTTTATTAATTAATGAATGGTTATATATATAACCCAACGACAGAACAAGATGGACTAGGAAACTAAGTCCTGCTGGTGTTCAACTAGCAAAGGGAAATTAGGAAACAAGGAATATTAATACTACTAGGAAACTAAAAAGTAATTAATTAAAAGAATGAAGACTTTAAGTAATATAGTTATTTAGCCTAGAGCTCCTCTGTCGTGTCCGTTTGCTGCGTCGTTGAATTACCGCCTTGTCCTCATTAGCGACGTCGTCACGCCGTTAAAGCCATCTTGTTCGCATAGGTTGCACAGGTAAATCCATCATTAAGTGGCTTGAAGTAGCAAATGAAGATTCACACACAGTTTCTCATAACCAGTATCATCTTTTTGACACCACCTAATGTCGGAGTATTTTTTTTTTGAAAATGAAGTTCTTGATCAGTGCAGTCTTAAAAGCTGATGTAATTGCTTTTTGGGTTTGTGATAGCAGTCGAGCCGAGCGCAGAAGTAGCACGGCTAAGACTTTGCCAACTGGGTATAGAGGTTAGGTTCCGTTGTGGGAAGCTCTCAATCGTGAGAGGTTAGGTTCTCAGCCGGAGCAACCTTCATCTTCTTTACTGGAATATCTCAGTTTTACTATGCTGACTATTCCGACGAGAGATCTCTCCGGCGGAGACAGGGCTGACTGAGAAGAAGGTGGCGATCTCGACTGAAATAATAGACAGAGCATGGTCATGAGGGGAGGAGAAAAAGAGTCGTTGGTAAAAATTTGGAGCCAATGCATTAGAGTACTGGGGTAATAAAATAATAGGGATATAATAGACATTTAATTTAATTAGAGGCTGTATTTAGTAAAAACTGGAAAGGGACCGATTCTATCTCACGGTGATAGAAGACCAAGCCTGAATAAGCTGAAAAATTATATGCTATCTTTATTAATTAATGAATGGTTATATATATAACCCAACGACAGAACAAGATGGACTAGGAAACTAAGTCTTGCTGGTGTTCAACTAGCAAAGGGAAATTAGGAAACAAGGAATATTAATACTACTAGGAAACTAAAAAGTAATTAATTAAAAGAATGAAGACTTTAAGTAATATAGTTATTTAGCCTAGAGCTCCTCTGTCGTGTCCGTTTGCTGCGTCGTTGAATTACCGCCTTGTCCTCATTAGCGACGTCGTCACGCCGTTAAAGCCATCTTGTTCGCATAGGTTGCACAGGTAAATCCATCATTAAGTGGCTTGAAGTAGCAAATGAAGATTCACACACAGTTTCTCATAACCAGTATCATCTTTTTGACACCACCTAATGTCAGAGTATTTTTTTTTTGAAAATGAAGTTCTTGATCAGTGCAGTCTTAAAAGCTGATGTAATTGCTTTTTGGGTTTGTGATAGCAGTCGAGCCGAGCGCAGAAGTAGCACGGCTAAGACTTTGCCAACTGGGTATAGAGGTTAGGTTCCGTTGTGGGAAGCTCTCAATCGTGAGAGGTTAGGTTCTCAGCCGGAGCAACCTTCATCTTCTTTACTGGAATATCTCAGTTTTACTATGCTGACTATTCCGACGAGAGATCTCTCCGGCGGAGACAGGGCTGACTGAGAAGAAGGTGGCGATCTCGACTGAAATAATAGACAGAGCATGGTCATGAGGGGAGGAGAAAAAGAGCCGTTGGTAAAAATTTGGAGCCAATGCATTGGAGTACTGGGGTAATAAAATAATAGGGATATAATAGACATTTAATTTAATTAGAGGCTGTATTTAGTAAAAACTGGAAAGGGACCGATTCTATCTCACGGTGATAGAAGACCAAGCCTGAATAAGCTGAAAAATTATATGCTATCTTTATTAATTAATGAATGGTTATATATATAACCCAACGACAGAACAAGATGGACTAGGAAACTAAGTCTTGCTGGTGTTCAACTAGCAAAGGGAAATTAGGAAACAAGGAATATTAATACTACTAGGAAACTAAAAAGTAATTAATTAAAAGAATGAAGACTTTAAGTAATATAGTTATTTAGCCTAGAGCTCCTCTGTCGTGTCCGTTTGCTGTGTCGTTGAATTACCGCCTTGTCCTCATTAGCGACGTCGTCACGCCGTTAAAGCCATCTTGTTCGCATAGGTTGCACAGGTAAATCCATCATTAAGTGGCTTGAAGTAGCAAATGAAGATTCACACACAGTTTCTCATAACCAGTATCATCTTTTTGACACCACCTAATGTCGGAGTATTTTTTTTTTGAAAATGAAGTTCTTGATCAGTGCAGTCTTAAAAGCTGATGTAATTACTTTTTGGGTTTGTGATAGCAGTCGAGCCGAGCGCAGAAGTAGCACGGCTAAGACTTTGCCAACTGGGTATAGAGGTTAGGTTCCGTTGTGGGAAGCTCTCAATCGTGAGAGGTTAGGTTCTCAGCCGGAGCAACCTTCATCTTCTTTACTGGAATATCTCAGTTTTACTATGCTGACTATTCCGACGAGAGATCTCTCCGGCGGAGACAGGGCTGACTGAGAAGAAGGTGGCGATCTCGACTGAAATAATAGACAGAGCATGGTCATGAGGGGAGGAGAAAAAGAGCCGTTGGTAAAAATTTGGAGCCAATGCATTGGAGTACTGGGGTAATAAAATAATAGGGATATAATAGACATTTAATTTAATTAGAGGCTGTATTTAGTAAAAACTGGAATGTATTTAGAATTACCCAAAATTTAAACCGAATGTGATAAAAATATACTCGATTGGTCATATGTCATACTCTAGCAATCGGCATTTCCAGTTTCAAGAATTGGGGCCTTGGATGATTTCTTCAATTGTGTGATTGGTTTTTCATCGTTTAGTGGTGCAGATTTTCCCCTCAAATTACCCAAATTCGGGCTGGGGCAGCTTGGTTATAGGAGGCAACCACATTTTTTAATTGGGGGCATATATTAAGCCTCTCGACATATACACACAATTATTAAGAAAAATGCGTTGATCAGTTAATAACAAAATAGAACTAAAAGCTTCTCACTTTGCATAAATAAGACCAAAAGTAAACTATGTTATGATATGACTAATTATGCATGTGTTGGACAAATATACCCTTATTGCTTTTGAAATGTTTTAATTCATAAATAAATAATAAAAAATAATAAAAATTCATAAAAATATTTAAAAATAAATAAAAATATTGAAATAATACTACGTAATAATTAAATTTATTTTTTTAAAAAAGTATTATTTTTTTAAAAAATTAAAAACGCAAAAAAAAAATCGCCGCCACCTCTGCCGCCCAGCGCTACCACCACCTCCCGTCACTAGCGGAAAAAATGCCAAATGTATTACGAATGCCATATTTATGGCAGAATCAAGGAAAATTTTGGCATTATGAAATTGTAATATACCATTTTTTGGCATTTTCGAAAAAATGGCAGTTTGTTAAAAAATGGCATTTTTTACAGCAGTCGAAGGTGGTGGTGTAGGGGAGGCAGTACAAGAGGTGGGAAAGGCATCTAATTTTAAAAAATAAAAAATTAAAAAAATGCCAAATCTATTATGAATACCATATTCATGGCAGATTTAATAAAAATTTTTGCATTCTCAAAGAGTAATTTGCCATTCTTTTGGAATTTTTAGAAATATTGGTATTTTTTACATCGGTCGGAGGTGGTGGTGCAGGGAGGCAGTACAGGCGGTCGGAAAGGCATCCATATATATTTTTTTATTCTATGGAGTTTTACTATTTTTTATTATTTTTTTTAAAAAAAATTCAAAAAATAAAAATTTAACTTTTTATTTTATAAATATTTTATAAATTTTTATTTTTTTTCTACGATTTTTAATTTTTTTTCCCGGATTTATTACGAATTAAACATTTAATTATGACTTTTGACTACCTTTTAATCATATTTAAAGGAGGGGTAAGAGTTGAATGAAAAAATAGGTATGCTTTCAATAGGAGTGATTGTCCTATTTTGGAATAAAAACATAACAAATCCTATTTTGAGTTTTTTGTTATATTTTTAATCCTATTTAGAGTAATTTCTAAAAGTGCATTAATATGATTCATATTCAATCGATATAGTTTTAGTCCTATTTAGAGTCACATAAATTTTAACAAATTTGATAGGAGAAAATTTTAATGAATTTTTTTCGAAAAAAGTGGAACGACCATCATTAACAGGTAGCGCTGCTCGATTTGTTTGTTTGCATAAAATACTTCCATGATCGACATGCATCACCATAAACGGCATAAATGTCATGTAGTATCATATAAGGAGTAATCTGTATCAATTTTTTTTGAAATTAATACAACTTTTTTATTTATAATCTGATTTAAAAAAAATATACTCTCTCTGTCTCTAAATGTTTGTCACACTTTCCACGGATGTTTCAAAATGTTTGTCATACTTTTTCAACTTCCTTATTTGATAAACAAATCTATACCATACAGTGTCAAACAGTGCAAAACAGTGCCAAACAGTGCCGCTACAGTGTGAAACAGTGTCGCTACAGTGTAAAGTCAGATTCATCTCCTTAAAACTTGTGAAGTCAAAATGTGACAAACATTTAGGGACGGAGGGAGTATATCACATTTAATAAATTTTCTTATGATCTTTCCAACGGTATTAATAGAAAAAATAAAATCTTTTTTTTAAATAACTACTTTTATTTATGATAAAAAAACTACTTTTATTTGAATTTTTATTGTTCATTTGAAATATTGGTACTATACGAAAGATCATACAAAATACAAAAAAAACTAATATGTTCTTTAAAATGATTTGATTAAAAACTAAAAAGTTCAAATAATTACCAAATATAAAGAGTTCAAATAATTACCAAATATAAAGAGTTCAAATAAATTATTTCATTGAAAACTAAAAAGTTCAAATAATTACGTCACATGACATATAATTAACTAGGGGTGGGGTGAACATCACCCTACCACATAATAATTTGCATATACCACATAAGTGCATATACCACATAATAATTTGCAAAACTTTTTTAACATTTTTATTTAGTAATTACAAAAAGCTTTACCAGTTTACCATTTCTTTTAAAGGGTTTTCCTTAAATATTATAGAGTATTAATTAAAGTAGTAGACGAAAATATGATTTAATAACTATTAGTGAATAGTGACTTAAATGTGGTTGTTATGATGAAAATTTTGAAAACAATTATAATCACTAATAGTTACTAAATCACATTTTTGTCCACCACTTGTTTTTTAAATAAGATGAGCGAAATTTTTTCTTGTTTTAAAGATTAGTCTATTAAGTAGCGCTAAAACTTAGATAAAATGAACTAACATTGGCAATCTAACTAAAGAACGATCAATCTGAGTTAGATTTGGCGGTATCATGTCTACCTTTAAAGGCGAAATATACGGGGAGTATAATTGTTGTTCACAAAATAAAAACCGAGGACTAGGATGAGCGTGGTAATGAAGCTAGCAGCCGCAACGGTAGCTGCGTTGCTGTCGATTGGATTTCGCGCGGCGGCGAGCGGCGCGGAGACCAAATATCAAGTAGCGCTGCCCGGATGTCGGGAAATTTGCGGGAATATTACGGTACCCTACCCGTTCGGAGTCGGGGATAAGTGTTCCTGGAGCGAAAATTTTAATGTCACCTGCGACGAGCACTCAAAGTTATACTTAGGGATTGGGGATGCGTTTAACGAAATCGCAGAAATTCATCATCTTAAAGGGATGATGGAATCCAATACGCCCATATTCACCGTATGCTACAACGAATCCAGAGAAGAGGTGAATAAAGATGCTAATATTAGTACGGGTCTGGTTGAGGTGTCGGATTCGTTCTGGATTTCCCGTGAAGAAAACATGTTCTACACCGTCGGCTGCAACGTGTACGGGATTTTCGCCGGATACAAAGGCGCCGGTACAAGTCTCACTGGGTGCGGAGGGGTGTGCGACTGGCCTCTGGAAAAGAAGGACGTCAGGGAATGTTCTGGGTCGGGGTGTTGCGAGGCGGATATTCATGCGGCACACGAGCTGACGTCGTTCGGGATTACGATTGCCAATGTATTAGTAGAGGTCGATAAAGAATTGTGGGAATTCAGCAAATGCAGCCATGCTTTTGTGGCCAAAAAAGGGTGGTATCATTTCCGTAAGGAGGATCTTGCTTATCTGGGCTTTCGCACAGTACCTTTGGTCATAAACTGGGCTGTCGGGGGAGAGAATGCGACTTGTAAAACTGCTGCTGAAGAGCATGGATATGTATGCCGCGGCTTAAACACAGACTGTGAAGACCTGCCGTACCGGTATGGGTACCGATGCAAATGCAAACCCGGTTATGACGGGAATCCGTACCTGCCTACTGGTTGCGTACACAGTAAGCACTCCTTTACTCCATTTCCATTTTTAAGTCGATCTTCAAATCTAATACTCCCTCCCTAACACTTATATCTTCCTACTTTCCTTTTTAGTTATAATTTTCATATCTTTTCTTTTCTAAATCTTCCTATCCTACGACCTACGCTCAATGATTTTCAGAGGCGGACCGTAGTAGAGACTCAGGGGACTCTACCGCCCCCTAACAAATTTTTTTTAGTGTATATATATACGAAAAATGATTTTTGTTCTTCCAAAAAGTATTTTGAACCCCCCCCCCCCAATATTTTCGCCCCCCCAAAATGACTTTCCTGGGTCCGCCCTTGATGATTTTAAAAATAATACACTATTACAACTACTTTTTTTGGATTTATCATTCATTCAGCACACTATTTCATTCTTCTCATCATATCCTCAATAATTTATATCTCCTTTCACTATTCTTAATATCACGTACTTTTCAAATGAGAAGATATATCTGTTACGGAGGTAGTAGTTCATTTTAATGAGGGAAAATCGCATATATGATCCCTCTGTTATCCACGAAATTAAAATCTCAAACCTGTGTTTCTGAGATTGCAAATGTCACCCCTCAATTTTCTAAAATGCTGTAAATGTGGTCCTTTTGAGGGGTGGAATATACAATGTGGGCGAAACTACTATACATTTCATTACTTAAAGGATCTCATTTACAATAATTTGGACAATTAAGTGGTGACATTTACAATATCAAAAATACAGGTCTCAGATTTTAATTTCGTGCATAACTGAGCGATCATATATGCGATTTGTCCTTTTAATGTCTTTCTTGCAATTTTAAATTTCATACGGAGTAGTTTATACTTCAAGTATTGTTGTTCCTTTATAATATGATGGAACCATGTGAAATAATAATTAGATGGAAGAATGGCTTACCCATCAGGGTGCCCTACCATTGTATTTATAATACGGAGTAATAAATAAGAGGAGTATTTACACACAAGTCCCTATAATACACTATTAGAAGGTTGCTATTTTAGATCGAATCAGGATGAGTATATTTAGAAATGGAATCACAAAATTGAATATAAAGCGTAAGATTTTATTAAATAATTTAAAAAACATATAAAAATATTATGTAAAAGAAAACTTACAATTTAACATGATGAATATATCAAACTATTATAAGTTTAAGTAAGTCAAATAATTATTTTTAATAAGAAAATTTCACAATAAATACACGAATGGAGTGAATATTAAGCATTAGTTTAATTAATTAACTGATAATTTTGTAGTTACCATAAATAAATCCATAATAGGGAGTACTACGTAGTAGGAGTAGTATTGTTATGCGAGAGGGCAGGTTCGAAACCCTGCTACATCTACGAAGTTTTTTTTAGAAAAAATACTCTTTCTTTCTCTCATTTGCAACTATCCTACCCTGGAAACCCCAACCAATTTCCCCGGCCTCCCCATTGCAGTATATAACCCGCGTGCATTCATCCTCATGAAGCAGGTGATTATTCTTAGGCAAATTATTAGCCACTATAATAGGAGTAGAAGCGCAAATACGTCACTAAGCTGTTTTTAGGTGCAAAGAACATTATTGTTGTCAGTCACTAACAGAAACGGACATGCCACTGATAAAAAAATTCACGTTAGAAAAGAATTCAGAAAAAAGAGGAAACACGTCCCATTGAAGCTATAATATTTCTGTTATAAGTGTAGTTGGGTTTTCACCCTTAGTTTGTTCATTTATATAGCTGAACTTTAGCTAAAGTAACCAAGTATTGGCGCCCAAATTAAAGCTTCTAATAACGAACTTCCCTTTTCAGTTTAACTCATAGAAATAACTATTACGGAGTACCAACTAATAGAGCAAATATGCAGCAACTTTAACCTAAGAGTACGAAGTACTAATGGAAGAGGAATTAACCTGCTTGCCTTGTATTGCCGTATGTCTAATATTATATACAAGGGGGACTATTTCTAATAAGGTAACAAAATACCTACAAATCTTTCTACCATAAATACAAGGGAAAATACAAGGAAAAGATATTTCTACATAATTAGCCATCTACAAAATATTTGCTAAAATAGAGTAATATATTCGTACACCCCCCTCAAGTTGGAGCGGTCGGGATGAGGACGCCCAACTTGGATAGAAGAAAGTGAAATTGTTGAGCTCCCAGAGGCTTTGTGAAAATGTCGGCAGGTTGCGAAGCCGTCCCAATATGACTAGTAGAAATCACACCATCAAGAATGAGGTCCCGAATAAAATGGCAATCTATCTCAATATGCTTCGTTCGTTCATGAAAAACGGGATTGGAAGCAATATGTAGGTAGCCTGATTATCACAGAAGACAGCCATCGAATGAGAATGAGATACATCCAAGGATCGGAGAAGGCTCTTAAGCTAGATGAGTTCGCAACCGACAGTAGCCATGGAGCGATATTCTGCCTCTGTAGACGAGCGAGAAACAATGGGCTGCTTCTTGGTCTTCCAGGAGATAGGAGAACCCCCAAGCAAGACAATGTAACCAGTGTAATAACATATATTGTATTACCATAGTTAGAATATATTCCTTTTGTATATATCCCCGTAATATCTCCTTTGATTTGATTTGTATTTACATAGCTTCCTTATTTGTTAGCATTACTCTTGTATAAATAGGATCTCAATGTAATCTTTCTACTCATGGAATAACATGTATTCCTTCATGGTATCCGACTTCCTCCTTTGATCCTGCATTTTTTTCCCTTCGCTGCTCTCTGCCATGGCTGGTGAATCAGTCCCTAAGCAGCTAATTCATCCAGCCCTCGCCATTCACAATATAAAATCTCTCATTCCAATTACTCTCGATCTCAAGGACGATGAGTATTCTTCTTGGGTTTTCTTGTTCCATCTTCACCTTGAGGCTCACAATCTCATGTTTCTGGTGGACGGCTCTAACCCTCCCAGCGGCATCGATGAGCCCACTCGGAAATAGCTGGATGCACTCATTCGTCAATGGATGTTTTCCACAATGACAAAAGACCTGATGCTCACAGTCCTCAAATCCAGTACCACGGCTCAAGCTCTATGGGAACGTCTCCGTACTCTGTTTCAAGACAACAAGGGGACCCGGGATGCCATCTTGGAGCGACAGTTTGTTAATCTCAAATTCACAGACTGCAAAGGCGTGGATGACCACTGTGATCGGCTTAATACTCTATCTGACCGCCTTCGTGACCTTGAATTTCCGATGGACGAAAGACGACTGGTCATCAAACTCATTAATGGTCTGCCTACAGAGTATGACACTATAGCTTCCTTCATCTCCCAGTCTATGCTGAGTTTTGAGACCACTCGCTCTCAGCTTCGAACCGAGGAACAACGTCGAGCGCAGCAGTCCCTCACCCCTCCAACTGCTCTGGCCGTCTCGGTACCCTAGTCTTCTCGCGATTCGACACCCTCTGCTATGGTGGCCTCACATCCTCCTCGTCAGGTGCGTGGTGCCGGGAATCATGGATGTCGGAGTTCCAGCCATCAGATAGATCGTAGGGATCCGCATCGCATGGATGTTTCTCGAGACCAGTTCGCCACTGCTCCTCTTATGCCTGGGCCGCCTGGATATCAACCCTGGCATATTGGGCCACCTTATTGGGCTTTACCACCATGCCCCTATCCTACGGTTCCGGCCCCTTCCTATTGGGCAGCTCCTACTCCCCAATTTGGCTCATTTGGTCCAAGTTCATCTAGATCCCGTCCGCCGGCGGCCAATACTCCAAAAAATAAAAATATTGCACTCACTATGGAGACTTTGCAACCAAGTGATATTGCCGAGGCATATAGCTCTATGACTTTAACTCAACCATCTGATGATTCTTTTTATATGGATACAGGAGCCACCTCACATCTCACGGCGGATTCAGGTATTTTGTCTTCTGTTTTAAATAAAAGCACTGCACGTTCTATTTTAGTTGGAAATGGCAATTGTATTCCAGTGGTCGCCAGTGGCACCAAAACCATAGCCCTTCCCAATCGCAACTTATATCTTAAAAATGCCCTTGTTACCCTTGGTATTATTAAAAATCTCACATCCGTCCGTCAATTCACCATTGATAATAATGTTTCTGTCGAATTTGATCCTTCTGGTTTTTCTGTGAAGGACTTGAATTCGGGGACCCTTGTTATGAGATGCAATAGTTCCGGGGAGCTCTACCCTCTTACAATAAGTGCTCAGTCACCTCGGCCTGTGTCTCACCCTCTCTCACTTGCTGTTGTGTCAACTGATATATGGCATCGTCGTCTTGAACATCCTGGCGTTGCTGTCATAGATTCTTTACATAGTCAATCTTTAATTAATTGTAATAAGGAGGCTACCTCCAAATTGTGTCATTCATGCCAAATTAGTAAACATGTTCGGTTACCTTTCTATCCATCTGGCTCCAATACCATTGCTCCTTTTGATATAATTCATAGTGATTTGTGGACATGTCCTATTACTTCTAACACATGTTTTCGCTATTACCTTATTCTGTTGGACGATTTCACAAATTACCTATGGGTTAATCCTCTTAAAGTCAAGTCCCAAGTTTTTGGAAAATTTTTAGAGTTTACCTCTCTTATCCGCACCCAATTTGAAAGAGAAATAAAATCATTTCAATGTGATATGGGTCGTGAATTTGATAACTCCTTGTTTCACGATTTTGCTAAAGAATGAGGTTTGGTATTTCGGTTTTCCTGTCCTCAAACTTCCCCTCAAAATGGTAAAGCCGAGAGGATGATACGCCGAATTAATGACATAACCCGTACTCTTATGACTCATGCTTCGATTCCTGCTGCATATTGGGTTGACTCGCTTTACATTGCGATTTACCTCCACAACATCCTACCCACCAAAACACTATCCTTCCGCTCCCCTACTTTAGCTCTTTACTGTCGTCAGCCTACATATAGCCACCTCCGTACCTTTGGTTACCTCTGCTACCCTAACCTCACCACCACCACACCGCACAAAATGGCTCCCCGGTCAACTC